GGAACCACGTAACAAGAATAGTATTTTTGTTATCTTGTAGATATCCTTAACCAACTGAGTGTGGAATTTAGTTTGAAAAATCCCTCATTGTGGGCGCAATAAGATCAAATAATGAAGTGTATACTTATTAAATGCAGGCCAAATGCACTTAAAATATATCCCAACGAAAAACTATAGCGAAACAAAGAATAATTATATGTTTGTCTCAAAAAATAAATTATCCATCGTTGAAAAAGTTAGCACCATTAAGAATTTTAAGATGACGTGTATACTCGTTAAACGCAGTTATAGGAAGAAAAAAAAGAGTTATAGGAAGAATTACTTCAATTACTCAATTACTTAGCTACATGAGTCTATAAAACGGCTATGAGGGTTCTTAGTAGTCCTACATATAGTGTATAATCTAAAACAAACAACTTAGGACTACATTAAATAGGCACCCGAGTGGAGATAATCATTCACATATTATAATAATGTATCTAAGTAAAAGAAATTGAATACATTAAAATTATTTATTATTATTATTATTTAATTAATTAATTATAAATAAATAACATATCAGTGTTATATAGAATATTTTCAGGATGTATGTTATCCATAGCTTCTAAGGGGTTAATTACTCACGATTCCTGACACTCTTTGCCTGATTCTTGACGGTTGATTCTACTTGGTGTCCTACATATTTCGTTATATGAATATATTTCCCAATATAATTCCTTTTCATATATTACTTTTCATTTCGATTCAAATATAAACAATTTTTTATTGTAAGTGAAAGTTATAAATTGGTAAGTTAGGGGTAGCTTCTTAAAATGTACTTTATGAATTACCGTAAGATGAAAAGCATTATTATAAATAAGAGTGTGATAACATCTTCTTGTTCTTTACAAGAAAGCAACAGAAAACTAAATTTACAAATAATGTTGATAGAGAATTCATACATTTTCGCTAATGCGTGATCGAGAACTTTCCCCTGTATACGGGCCTGGATAAAAGAATGGAAAAATCAGCTTGTGTGTTGGTCAGTTGGATTGGGATCCGAGAGTCAAGAATAGCGTGAAACGGCTTTATTCGTTTATTGGATCGACGAAAGTCCCAGGGTCTTGTGGGAGTAACAGAGGGGATCTGGGTTACGAAGGGTCCATGACACCTTAAAAATTCATTATGAAATAGCTCACACAAATCTGCACTTACTACGAAGACACAACCGATCAAATAGCAGTGTAGCTGATCGTTAAAGTATTCTCAATTGTCTTAGAATACCGATTGTTTGCGCAATCGTTATTTTTTCAATCATGTTGTATCGGAATATTTATGATATTCAAAATGAAAATATCGTAAGTCAATGCAACGTATACAACAGGAAAAGGAAAATAGAAGATTTTAAGTACAGGACTATGAAATTAATTAAAGCTCATGGTAAGAAAGATTAATAAAGTGGTTTCTTCAATTATCAAGAAATGTTTATGTGGTACCTAAGCGACATGTGTAATAATTATTAGGAGGTATTATACGTAGATTATTATTTAGTATTACATATTACTAATATTTAATAGTATTTAATTACAAGCGTAATAATTACTTGAAGTGGACAGACTGAACAAAATATATTCGTAAAATCAATCGTGTCGCTAAATAATATTTCAAAGTATTAATTTAAAGAAAGGTAGAAATAATGATAGTAAATTGCTATTAATTAAAATCTTTAAAAAATACATTCATTACTAAACTCTTGTATTTCGTTTGAATGATTTATTTTATTCAATTTCATCAAAAGAATTTCTTTATAGAACGCTTATTTTTTGACATTCATATTTTTATATTTATTTACAGTGCTCATATTTCACAACCGTAAATATATTGTAATTTCTATGTATATAAACAACTGTAAATAGGCATGGAGATTGGATTAACACATATAAATCATTCATACAAATACATACATTATACATGCAAAGATCAAACGATAATGTATTGAAATTAATGTATGACAAAATGCATTGAATTTAATTATTATGAAGCTAGTGAAGTGTCGGGGTACTGTAATAGTTTATATTTTACACTGGGTTATAAATAATATCTACAAAAAATACAACCAAGATCTAAACCTTAAAGGATTTCGATTTTATAATAATGATACACTAATGATATAATACTGAACTGCTTATCTTTGTATTATAATAAAGGTATATATTATAATGAATTCAATTATGAGTGTTGAAATGACCTTCAAGGTCGCACAAAGTCGGAATTGAATTAGATAATTCGTATATATGGAATTAAATTTCCTAATACTTTATAATAATAAATATGTAATATGAAATAACTGTGATTTAAAACTCCTTGGCAGTTGTTGTAGTGCTACGTTTAAAGTTGATGGTCCCATGAAAATGTAATTGTTAAGAACTCTTTAATAACCATGTTATAGTGATGATTAATACTTGATAAAAATATCACTAAATTATTTTTTTCAATAATTATATAAAACAATTTAATGGTGTATAATTATATAAATTTGAAATAAAAACAGCGATGTTTACCTTACTGTACAAATTTTTAATTGTAATATCAATCGAAATATTATTAAAAGATTGCATCAAATTGTACACATTCATTAAACTATTAATTTACCTTCCTTTACGATACATTTCATTAAAATTCCCATCACGAGTTAAACGAACATTTACAATTATATACACGAATGCGATATTCATTCCATTATATAAATGAAAATAATAAATTTTAAACACCTTTATAATTTCAGTAATCAGAAAATAAGAAAGTTAAACAGAATCGTTAGAACATGTACAATAATTCCATCATTAATAAAGTCAATTAATTCTTCTTAAGTTATAATTAAATCAAATTTCTGATTATTCAATCAACTCGTTATAACGTTACAACCTTAATCGAGTCAATGCCTCTTCAGTCTTACCAACGCGTCGCCGTGTCAAGCATACCGAAACGAACGAATGAAGAAACAAAA